TGTTATTTCTCATCCTGTTTTTGGAAATTCACAAATAACTGGATAATTTATCTTTGTCATGCAACATCTTTATATCTTCAATTTGACTGAATTCTTGGCCACTCGACTCGGAAGGAATGAGTTGGCTGACACTGTAGCCAACTTTACCTTCACTGGCACCGTGAAACCTCCTGCTATTCCATGTCTTGGTATGAAACCTGTCATTCAGGCAGGGCTTCATGCCATGTTGCAGACCACTTTGGATGAGCAATAATAAGCTTTTTCAGTTCAAAAACGATTGAATGTCTAGCTTACATAACCAAAGTTTTGTTACACATTTTCTCTTGCAAGACAATGACCTGCCAGCGTGTGAGAAGTGTGAAAATGAAGTTAAATTTGCCCACGTTTTATTTCCATTCGCCCTATGATACAGTGACAACACAATTTTAAATATGTTTAATTCGTGGTATCCCTTTGACGTAGGAAAGTGATATTAGAAATTGTGATAGTGTCCAGCGCAATAATATTTTTAATTATTTACGGGTCAAAAGTATTTATAATTTTTAATCTTATTTCAAAAATTTGATACATCGTCCTTTTATTTTATTTCATTTTTATTTAAAAAATAAATTTGTTTAGGCCACGTTCTGACTTTTTTGTGTTTTAATGGTGCATTAGTGATTTCCCACGTTAGTATGAACTTTCTTGGAGTTCCATTTATAGACGTAAGAATCAACATTAACTTTCATCATTATCAACTCGGCTGAGTTAATACTGCTCAAAGTTGCAGCTCTCATGTGTGTTACATATCATTTTCCGGTTTTTCTTCTCAATGATATTGAATACACGTACACACATTTGCATGGATACAAAATTTGCATGCTTCTCTATGACCGGAAATTAAAACGCTAGCACGATCATTTTCATACGTATCCAAACTGTTAAAAACTTCATGCGAATTAAAGGTTACTGAAAATTAATAAATATAGTTGCATTATAATCTAAATTTGTAGATTACTATAGATAATAAAAAGGCCTGTGATTTAAAATTTCCATGTTTTAACATGAAAGGAAGAAAAATGTACACTAGCAATGTAAAGCAAGTTCAATCCCGAGTGCAATTCACAAATAGGAAATGTGTTTTCTACTATAGTACACGACGAAGAACTCCGATACTAAAAATGTGTTTTCTACTATAGTAAACGGAGAAGAACTCTGATACTAAAGAATGTGTTTTCTATTATAGTAATCGGGTCGACAGCATACAATACAAAACAGGTATGCACATTCATATCCATAATTAACATCGTTCTTGGATTCGCTTGGAGCCATCTCTATACTGCAGGAATTCGAAGAACAAGCTAAACATCCGCAATCATTAAATATTTTGCTCCAGTTTGATCCAAACGAGATACTGATAACCTTTTATAATTTTTTGCCCACTTCAAATATGGCGAAAAACAAAATTAGAAATTTCAGCGCACGCTTATCTATAATGAAACATTTCTATAACAAACACATCAAATGTTAAGTTCTTACAATTTATTAAAAAAAATCAACCAAACCATATAACAAATCTGATCCCATTACAATAGAAGTATCATCGCAAAACCATGTATCTGCAAAAACAATATCATTGACAAAATTCACTTAAAATGCGTGAACAATACTCTTTTTTTTTTGTTTAACTTCCTGCTTGTTTTATATACAAATCTTCTACAACTGTATCAGCATAAAATTTTTCCCTATAAAACTACCAGAAACAATACGTTACACAACTAACCATTGTTCTCTACAATATCGTTTGGTTATACTTTATTGTTATATTCTCACCATCTTTAGGTAACGTTTCATTAGTTTAAAAACAAGCACGAATATTTGAATCGTTGTGTGCCTCCAGAGACAAAAACATATTCCATTTGAACATTCTAGTCATGTTAATGAAAATATACGTGTTACTTATTCGATTAAATGTTTTTAAACATTATTTTAAAGTGTTTTTTTTTTGTTACTCAATAATACTTACATAAAAGAAAAAGTAAAAATGAATAGTGTACGGTTCGAATATTTTAAAAGAACCGAGTGTTAAGCCTAATCCGGTCATCATTAAACATAAGCCTAAATACACGTGAAAGTTCATGGAATGTACAGTGTAACAATAGACAAGGCTAAAATGACTAGCAAACCTATCCAAAAATAACACAACGAAGAAAGTTTAGGCTACATCAAACCAATTTATACACATACTAACTTTGAGCTAATAATTTTGGCAACTCGGTATCGTTGTATAGGTTTCTAAACGAATACAAAAGAGAATAACTACGTACAGGGATATTCGCATGTTCATGGGAAAAAGAGCCCCCTAGTGGCACAGTGGTTTCGATACCCGTGGTGGGCAGAGCACAAATAGCCCATTGTGTAGCTTTGTGCTTAATTCCAAAACAAACAAACAACATGGGGAAAAGAAATATCATTGCTACGCAAAAGTGAAACTGTAATCTTAAAATATTAGAACCGTCTTTGAAAACGTGAAGAGGAGGGGATAATTCCAATAGCGACTTACTTCCGAATAAGTTTATTTCCATTACAAATGACTTGTGTTTAAACTAACAACGTTTGCTGTTTTTATAAAAAAAAAAAGTTCTGAAATTGTTGATGTACATAAAAAGCTAACTTGAATTTCATATTCTTGACCTGATTCTCTGCGACAGACTGACCAGTATAATTAGATTGGATAATCAGTACACATTGTTAAAATTTACAGCTTTTACAGTAAGGAAGATTATTTTTCAGAACAGGTACGACATTTCGATTGTTGGTGCGATCATTTTCAAGTACTTGGGAATGATTACACCAGTGATCGAAACGTCGTAGCTGTTCAGTAAAAAACAAATTCTTCCTTACTGTAAAAGCTGTAACTTGTAATAAAATGATGCTTAATTAGCAAGTAAATTCAAAACGAGGCTATTAATCAGTACAAAATAAGTCAAAATATAAACATATGGCGCACTAAAATATAGAAATTAAACATACTTCAACTATAAATGTATGTTTAGTGGATATTATATAACGTTATAAACACTCAAAGTTTGCATTATTGTAAAACTTAGATTTCCATAAAATAGGATTGGTGCATTAAATAGTGTATAATTTCAACTATTTCAATTTACTTAAATATTTAGTGTAAAAAAAAAAAAATTCCATTATTTCCAGGATATACAAGATAAAGTAAATTCCTTAGCTATTATCAGATACAAAACCAGAATTATAATTAATTTCAAAATAGGCGTGTCATTGATAATTTAGAACATTATGTAGACAGAGTAAATCAGTATCTTGGACCGAACAACTGGATTTTCTGTAAATGTCGAATCAGACAAAGTATCAGCCACTGTGCGACCTCTTAAAAGCACAAGTTTGGATTTTGTTGGTTTTTTTTTTTTTTTTGCCGATATTTCCATCCCTTCATGCGTCGTAACTTGGTAAATACACAATGATTTTTAACAAAATCAGTCTTCAATCTTGATATTAAGTATGCATAATAAGGTACGCATTGCTATTTCGTAGTTAATTTAACTTCTATAGTTATTTCTGCGCGCTAATTAACTAAGCTAAATTATTAGAAACATTATCAAAGGTGTTTTCGTTTGTCTGTTCACTTAAACGACACCTTGTGCACACAATGGGCTAAAACGTCCGAGTCATTAATGACAAACTTTTCAGAAAAACGGTTTTTAATGTAAATATTTCATTAAATCATTACGTAGTATTTAATTTCATTACTAAAACCACTACTATTTTTTTCTTTCAACCTTTTAATAACAAACGAAATTTTTAACCATGTGGCAATAAATTAGAAGTGTTTGTTTGTTTGAACTTGAGCACAAAACTACACAAATGGGCTGTCTGTGCTCTGCCCACCACGGGTATCGAAACCCGGTTTCTAGCGTTGTAAGTCCGCAGAAATACTGCTGTGCCACTGGGGGGGGGGGCAAATTAGAAGAGAAAAATGGATGACATTTTACCAACTTTGAATCGGTTGTAGTGAATAATCTGCAAGGAAAAAAGTATTAGTTTAAACTGTGTTGTTTTTACTGAGACAAAACAATAAAAATAAACAAAATGTTTCAAGCACAGATTAACTATTTATAGGATGAACAACGTCATCTGTGATTACATACTGCTCATAGCAAATGCCAAAGATAGTTGCTACACATCAACTGTTTAGTCACACGCAATCTGTTGTTTAAAACTACTCTTTTACTGTAACGTTATTGCGTATAAATTGCCTCTTCAAGGTTTCACAATTGGACATGCTAAGATATACAAATCGGGTTTCATCTTGTGACCTGTCGGTAAACGCAAATTTAAGACAAAAATTGTGTGAAATATGAAGAGCAAGTTAATTTTCTGTAAACAACTCGGTGATGAGCTTGATAGCAGTATCACAACCATTGTGTATGCATCTGTATTTGGTAGGTTTAAAAGTTATCAAATAACGTGCATATTTTATTTGTATTATCTAGCAATTTCATGTTGATAGTACTGAAAAACAATTAAATTTGTGTGAAATTTTTTAAAAATTCTGTCACTTGTTAACGCTGTGTTGCCCATGGTATTCCAGAGGTTCATCTACAGCCATCCTTTGTGTATCGTACCTCATAATAAGAAATGTATACAACTTGAAATATCCTAAAAAATACGTTTTCCATCGAAGAATTTCATATATTTGAAAAACATTTCATGTTCCCATAAAACTAAATAAGTCGTTTAGTTTTAATAGTCAATTTGTTTTCATGTTTTCCAGGCAAAGTTCGAAATCACGGTTGTTGTTTTTTTTTAGCAAACTGTGTCTCTTACGCAGACTGATTAATAGTTTGCAGTCTGTTCATTTTACTTTGAATATTACACGTAATCAAATGGTCAGTAATATGAAAATTTCTGACGTTGTCTCCAGCGATGAATTTACACGACATAACATATATAAATCAATCATTATACATTTCATGCAAGAAAGCTACTTTGTTTTATCCACATTTTATTCAGCAGTGATCATCAAACTTTCAAACAAATATTTGTTATAACTAATATTTAATTCCAAAATAGTAAAAACTACAACTCTTAACTCGAAACAAAGTAAACTTAATTATACATCAGTTACATCTTCGAGAATTACACGATCTGACAAAAATTTATTTCAAGCCCCAGGTTATCATACATATCACCCTACTGCAAAAGTTGATTCATAACTTATCTATTCTTCATGGTTTATTTTTTAAATTATATACAACTGTGTAAGTATCTAAGAAGGCTTAAGGAATATGACATACCCACAGTTATATAGTTTATACACAAGTATGTGAAAATCCAAATAAACAATGAAGTATAAGTGAATTTTTAGTTCACTATTAACTATCTATTTTGGTTGTTACTTCTTCACAAGCACTGTGAGTACACTAAACTCACAATACAAAAAAAAAGGCTCAAAAAAGTATAACTACAAAAACATGACTGAGAATCAAATTGACATACGTGATATGTCAAAAACATTCCTGCACACAAAGTACAAAAAGTTCATTTTTCAGACTATCCTACAGCTAACCTTCTTAAAATTGAAGATTTAGCAGGATAAATCATTTGTATACATATAAAAAACATTAGCTAAAAACTATTTAAAATTTTATGGCTAAAATCGTAAAATAAGATCCGTGAATAAAGAATCTTCTCAATCAAGATGAATATGATTATGCAAAAACGGACCTAAATAATATATGTCTCTATATATCTATGTTAAATGTATATACATATATAATTAACTTTTCATTTTGAGCAGACAAATCTAATAATATAGGGAAACCATACCATATTGAGCCTAAATTGTTAATTTTCAAGGACGAAATGCAAAAGACGAAACAAACATCACTGTGCGAGAAGTTTTCTTTTAAAAGTTAAGTTTTAGAAAGAAGTTGAGTCTATCTTGCTTTGTTTGATTGTCTAGAGATGGATGGTGTTATAAATGCTTTCCATACACACTATAATTAATTTAAACGCAGTTGAACTGTAACTTGGTTCCTAGTCTAAAAACCGCCGTTCATAAGCACAAAAAGTTATATTGAAGTTTAAAAAGTTTCTTTTTTAAAGAAACAGAAAATTTATTTGCTTTTAACATATGAACTAGCATACTAAGCGCCACTACAAAAGCAGGTGTGGAAGGTGTTAAGCCTTGTCCTTGTTCGCTACTGCGGTGTACAATTCCTACTGAAGTACATAAAAAACAGATTCTCCAGGAGGAACATCTCAAATATTTTTAAAACTGCCGTTAACTCTTAGTCAGTAGTCCATTTCTCAAAACAAGTGTTAGCTCAATTGCATACTTACATTACAATCACCAACAAAAACCTCCGTTGATAGTAGTTTTAGATTCCAAGTATCAATAACCCCCTAAAGTCAACCATGGTTTCACTTACCGTGCTTCAAGTATTAACAAACCTCTTGAAGTCAACCATGGTTTTGCTTAGTGTTACTTGCTTCTCAAAGGCGTCTTCTTAACATGAAATAAAGCAGCATGATCCAATGAGAAATTTCCTAATGTAATAATATCACTATCGTTATGTGAAAGTGGGTGGTTAAGAGGTTATTTGTTTGAAATTACAAGAATGTTTAAACTACGAAGTTAGTTTAATTTTTTCTTTTCAAATATTGTCAATCGACAATTGTAAAATATAAAAGCAAGACTTTTTTTGCATTAATAGTAATTAAGGGTAATAGTTTCAATGTATTATGTCGTTACGTCCAGCTACAGTTTCAAGATTTATTTCAACTTTGATATTTCGACAAACATGGCAAATTTACTATTATTAAAGGCAGTTTTCACACACAAAGCCTGTGAAAGAGACAAGTTCAAGTATGTAGAGGTAAACAGACAATTTGTTGGGAAACAACTTTACAAGGCTTATAGGAATATAAAGCACCATCAGTGCTTAAACCTATAAATGAGGCTGAACTTATGCAAATTCAAATGAATGAACAAGAAAATTCGACTGTAGTTTTGTTGAACATGTCCTATTACATGGAATATTGGGACAAATATTCAAAATTAATGAGATAATACAATTTGGTGGCTTTTAATCAATTACAGTATTTTTAAAAGAAAATTTTTGAGCATATAAACGGAATGCTGTTAAGACAACAAGCCCTTGCATAGAAGCTATTTCAATGTGTAAATGGTCCTCTACTAAGAATTGCTACGGTTCTCCTTTCTTTGCAACGAATAAATGTCGAACATATCATAAAATGAAAGGCACATTTGGATGGGTAAATGGGTAGAGAAAAACGTGATGTCATAAATTGGGACAACGCTGCACTTGCTGTTTTTCTAGTTCACCAACAGCAGCGTCTACTAATAAGTACAAACAGCTGAACGGGTCTTCCTTATCCTCCCCAGGGGGCGTAAGTGGTGGAGTATTAGGCTCAGATTCCCAAGGTTTCCGTTTTGGATCTTCAATCGTATTGTTGTAGTTTATAGTTGAACCAAACGCTTTTGAATCGCCATTTCTTTCGCAGGTGTTGACCGTAACCGATGGATCGTATTCTGTGACGCTATCATAATTGTGAGGATTTAAGAACAAACTGGTGTCTGAGCGATCACTAGCTGGTGAAACTTGCATTGCTGATGAGCCAGTGGAAAAAAAATCAACAGAGCTCACTGACCATTTTCCATTCACGAGTTCTTGCTCATGAGACTGTTGCCAGCGTTTTGTCAGTTTCAAAGGGGAGTCACAGTCTTTCAAGTCGCAATCAGACTGCAAAGGATCAAGGGGAGAAGCTTCACTCAAACTGTCTTCACTTTCCACGTCAGTGGCGCTATCATCGGTTGCAGAAAAAAAGGACTGAAGAGGTTTGGCTAGTCTGTCATGGTCAGACTTCTCGGAATTTTCACCGTGATGTCTTTGCTTTACACCATGGTTTTTGTGTGAGTAGCTTTTCCTAGTTATTGTGTACTGCAGGGGGTCGTGTCCTTCTTTCCGAATCAGATCTGGCAGAATGCGACGTCTAGCGTTTATAAACCAATTACAGACCTGCAAAAGACTGAGATTGGCCTCCTTAGAGAGAGAGAGTTTTTCCTGGTCAGAAGGATAGGCATTGTACCGATGTTCATACAGCCACATTTTTAAAATTTTCACCGATTCCTTCGGCAAGTTCCCTCGACGCTTTCGGCCGTTCAGGTTTGAATGTTGAAGTTCAGGCTGAGGATAAGGCATCGTCTCGTTGCAAAGTTGCATCTTTAAGTGCTCCCGACCTAGAAAAAAACAAACAACCATGAGTACAAGTGGGATATCTTGTTTAATCTTCTAAACTAGAACAATAAATGATATTGGTAATATTACTCCACGAAAACTCTCAACCCAGTTTCGGTCAAAAAAATTACTTATTACGTAAAAGTCGCAAAACAGTAAAATTCAGAATTTTTTTTTTTTACACAACTCATCGGAAACTGTACCATTTGTACCGCAAACTTTAAATAAGATAGACGCATTTGGTTGTTAAACAATTAGCATAAACATAAAATAATTATCTTTCTCGGGTACTAACCATTCAAGCAACTGGAATCTGTAACAAACCAGTCAAGCATAACTTATTTCTTACACTGCCAATGATTACGGTTTACAACTATTCATTTTCTTACGGATTACAATACAATATGTCACCTTTTCAGTAGTTTGGTTATTTTTTACGTCCCAACTGGCATTTCTTTTTTAAAATGCTTTATAAACTGACACGATAAACAACCGAATTAAGATACGATACCCACAAAAATTGTATCACCATCACAAAAAGAAAGGTCAGAAACTCGGGAAGTTATAATTCTATTTATTAAAATTGCATTGCTAGGTAAGTATGATTCAGTCTGAAAAACATATATATATATATAAAGATTTTATATTATATTATTTACTCATAATAATTATATTTACAACTTTTACCAAGAATTGCGAACTATTTTATATTTTGCACACAACGAGTACATCGTACAATACATTTATCATTTTCCACTAACCCACACTAAAGGCTTTTAAGCGTGTGAAATTAAAAGTATCTGATTAATACAAACATTTGATTGTTCAAAGTTTGTGGCAAATGCATTACAAAGAAAGTGCATTGTTAAAATATAGAGAAACAATACGTAAGACCGAGAGAATAGTTTTTAAAGAGAGGTACTTGCGTGTCAAAGAGGTCCCCAACTTACCACCCAACTCAGTAGCAAAGCAATATTCTGGGACAAATATTCCATTGAGGGATGGTTCTTGCTCTTATCTATTTTAGTGAAATCCGGTAGTGCTCTTTTATTCGTGTTATTGTTTTGTTCGTTTAAAAATATTTTCAGAACAAAATTTTACAATAAAAATATGTTTTGTTTTACAATTCACAGTTTAGGAACTGTTGCTGTGACAGAAAGATATATGTAGTAAATGTTTTATTTCAGAACAACAACAACTAATCCTAGAATTAATCATGGGGTCACAGAACTCCATCAGATTTCTAGACATTTTGTAGGGTAGTGTTCCCTAATAACATACGAGATAAGAGTTGCACAAAGAAATATAAAACACCATCAATACTGCAATTCATCCTGGACCCAGTAATTACTACTGGAGTTCCCCATGTATCTTATACAGAAAACAACAATTTTACTCACTTTATTTTGAACAGTTTTGTTACTCAACAAACTACGGTTAAGATGTAGTCGTCACTACAACAAACTACGGTTAAGATGTAGTCGTCACTACAACAAACTACGGCTAAGATGTAGTCGTCACTACAACAAACTACGGCTAAGATGGAGTCGTCACTACAACAAACTACGGTTAAGATGTAGTCGTCACTACAACAAACTACGGTTAAAATGTAGTCGTCACTACAACAAACTACGGTTAAGATGTAGTCGTCACTACAACAAACTACTGTTAAGATGTAGTCGTCACTACAACAAACTACGGTTAAGATGTAGTCGTCAGTACAACAAACTACGGCTAAGATGTAGTCGTCACTACAACAAACTACGGCTAAGATGTAGCCGTCACTACAACAAACTAAGGTTAAGATGTAGTCTACACTACAACAAACTACGGTTAAGATGTAGTCGTCACTACAACAAACTACGGCTAAGATGTAGATGTCACTACAACAAACTACGGTTAAGATGTAGATGTAGTTGGTTCCTTCACTCAAGTGATAACATCTCGTCAACATTCTAATATAATGTTTGCCAAAAATACTTAATTTTTGCAGTAAGAGACTTACAATTGTAACATTAAAACTATTTTTTTTTCGATACTTAGGCTTTCATGCGCAGTATAGCCTCTGATTGGTAACTAAACATCCGCAATAAATAAATAAACACGGAGTATGAAATTGTTACGTTTTCATTTAATCATTGACTATTATTCTGAGATTGAATCAGCACTTATAAATATATCGACTAAGATTTTAAAAAAATTAATAATAATAATAATATTCGAAATGTTAAACAGGAAACATTACTTATTAGGTCCTATTAGTTAACATTCTAAGTGGAAATATTAAAATTAACTATTTTATCTTATGATGTACGGAGTGTTTTAGTGATAAAACTGACAGTAGGATGAACATTTATATAACATTTCAGAAGTTTCTAACTGAACGAGTCATTTAGTATGTCTCTAGGACAACTTTGGAAGCTGATGAGCGTGCCTGATAAAATAAACGCGAAGCATGCAAATCGTCTTTAATAAATAACAGTCATAACGTACGTTTCTCTAGGCAGAGGACAGTTAAATATGAGAAAAATGATCCTCAATTCACGCTTTCTCAATTTCCTTTTAACCATATGAGAATATATCTTCCACTTTTCATCCTTGCGAAGAATGTAAGCAGTTTCACGAAATTCGCAAATCTCGAGTCACGATCCCAACCTCGCGTTTCTCAATTTCATCATGCACTCATAATTATCATGTGGAAACTTAGCAACATTTTCAAATTTAAAATAGTCCTCGATTTTTTTTCCCCGCACTCGTGCTACTGTAGTTAATTTTAACTTAAAACTGCTTCTGTAATACTTTATATTGTTATTAATATCAACTAAGAAGCTCTTTGATGCATATATTAAAATGTTAAAAATGATAACTCTCGCTTGTGTATACGTATTCGTACTTGTTAAATGGCCGTATCCAACAACTTAAGTATTATGCGAGAACTAGTTGTAATTTTATCAACATCGAATTGTATATCTTATTTTACATAGTATTCTAGTTTGATACGACTGACTGTCTTAGATGGAAGCACTGTTTCATTGTCATTAAAACTGACAATACAGTCCCTGTAAATGAACATTTTAAACCCGTTATTTATACGTAGTAAATTTGTTTTACTTCTCTTAGACAAGCACTATATATGATATTTAAACGTGCTGGATATTTAAAACATTCGAAGTTCTTATTAGTTCTTTCTCGTATAAGATTTGGCTATTTTTTTGAAACCATCAAAGGAAACATTTTTTCTTGACCTTACTCGTTATCACGGTAAAACATTTTCAAACTATTATAGTAGTACGGAAGTCGTTCTAAGTTTTTAGATTTGTTCCATTTGTTCAGAACCTATCATGTTGTTTCTGTGAAAAAAAACATTTCCAAACTATTATAGTAATACGGAAGTCGTTCTAAGTTTTTAGATTTGTTCCATTTGTTCAGAACCTATCATGTTGTTTCTGTGAGGAAAAACATTTCCAAACTGTTATAGTAATACGGAAGTCGTTCTAAGTTTTTAGATTTGTTCCATTTTTTCAGAACCTATCATGTTGTTTTTGTGAGGAAAAACATTTCCAAACTGTCATAGTAATACGGAAGTCGTTCTAAGTTTTTAGATTTGTTCCATTTGTTCAGAACCTATCATGTTGTTTATGTGAGGAAAAACATTTCCAAACTATTATAGTAGTACGGAAGTCGTTCTAAGTTTTTAGATTTGTTCCATTTGTTCAGAACCTATCATGTTGTTTCTGTGAGGAAAAAGCCCCCCCCCCAAAAAAAAAGTAGATTACGACGACAGAGATGTTTTGAGAAATTTGACACTCGTCATATTAGTTTCCTTGACATCAGATCTTAGTTCATTTTTATAGGTCTTCACTGAATCGTGTTGAATATACATTTAAAAAATCTACATTATGTTTTTTAGCAGCTTATAGAAACTGAAGGTCAAGATAAATTTTTTTTATAAGAGATATGAGCCTTGAAAATATGTGCTAGGTCGCTTGGTTTCTGCGCCCTCTAGCGTTTGCTTGGGGTGGCTAAGTTACAACTGACAGTCCATGGATTTATCATAATTAACAGCGACAGTACAGGGGCAGTTAGTTCAGTCCTATTTCAACTAAGAATTTCTAGTACTCTAACAGCTAAACATTGATCTTCTTCATTAGTTCGATAATTCATCATACACATCTTTATTACACAAGAAAATTTTCTAGCTCACACGCTTTGTAAGTGTGTTATACTATGCCTTCTAGACTCTCATGTCCAGACATACGACGTTATTATAAAGTTAGTCGGTCTATTCTAGCGTCCATAACTCAGAACCTTATCAACGAACTATAATATTTGGTATATTAAGTAACTAGATGATGGGAATGAAGATTCTAGTAGTAAAAAATAATTCCCAATAGGGGGCGCTATACTGTAATTTGCATACCAGTGACTGTATAATAACAGCATCAACCATATCAGGATTTATTCTGCCATTAGAAATGACTTATGGCAGTTTATATCTCTGATCATAATAATTTTTCTCGTAAAGTATTATTATAGTAAATGTAATAACCCTGATGCAGCACTAAGGTAATATCGAGTGAAAGCGGTGAACTCAGAAGACCCGCAGCAACGAGGCTTATGTGAAGCTTCTAAACACATTTGTATAAAGAGGATTAGTTATTGATGTAACTTGGAGCACGTTATTATTCCTATACTTCAGTAGAGTTTGAATAAACGGTCTTCATGCAAGATGGGGCTCCACCACATATTGTTAACACACTGCTGAATCACGCTTCAGTGTGATCGAGTAATCAACAAACTTTTCAACGAACATGACTAGCACAATCTTCAGATATCCCCCCTCCCTACTGATTTTTGGATATGATTTACCGTCAGGAGCAACTGCTGAAAGACAAACAGTATTACAAATGAAAGCAAAACTAAACGTGAATGATGGTCACACGGCACATTAACATGTTGACAGTGCATATTTCTCAGTCAGCGCCCTCTTGTGGCACTGGAA